GAAATCACCCCCCAGGGGGGATGGTCACGCCGCAATCCCTTCTTCTCCATTCTCCCCTCGGGATCTTGGGCATGCACACACACGCACCCGGCGTGAGTTTTAAGCCACCTGGTCCGGGACGCGAACCGTGGTCGACTACGTGGGAGTCCAGCAACATAGCCATTACGCTAACTGCTGGTTCCCATATTCTTTCTTTTTTTTAAGATACATTTTTGCTATAGGGCGCATGAGCTCGCCAGAGAGACAGGGAGAGACAGAGAGACAGAAAGCGAGAAATCACCCCCCAGGGGGGATGGTCACGCCGCAATCCCTTCTTCTCCATTCTCCCCTCGGGATCTTGGGCATGCACACACACGCACCCGGCGTGAGTTTTAAGCCACCGGGTCCAGGACTGAAACCACAGTTGACTACATGGGAGTCCAGCGACATAACCATTACTCCATCGGGCCCCAATATATAAATGTCCTTTTGTCCAACTGAGTGGGCCTTCTTTATTTATTGACATCTTTATTTGCTGTAGTGTGCGTACACTCACTGGAGAGAGACAGAAGAGTGAAGGACAGAGAGAGAATGAGAAAAGAGATGACCACATCGCAATTCCTTCTCTATTTCCTCTTAGAATTTTGGGCACGCACACACACGTGCTTGGAGTGCTTTTTTTTTTTTTTTTCCCTTAATAAATATTTTTATTTAACTTTTTCCATTTATTTACTTATTTTCATTTGACCAGAGAGGGATAGGGTGAGAGAGAGAAAGAGAAAAAGTGAGAAAGCAAGCTGCTCCGGTGCCACCTGCTGGCCCCTTGCCTAGGGTGTTTTTTTTTTTCAAGCTACCGGGCCCGGTACTTAAACTCTGCCATCAGCCATGTGGGATCCAGCTGTCTTAACCACCATGCTACCAGCTGGCCCCGAGTGGGTCTTCTAGGCATTATCTTCCCTTTTCAGAGAACATGGTTTTCACTAACACCCTTAAAGCCGTGTCTTACCTTGATAATCGTTCATTGGCCTAAGAGGCTGGGAATGAGACGCGGTTTTATTTTACAACCCAGCACATTCTGTCGCCTCTACATTTCTTCCAAATTCTACATGCAAATCAACTAGTTCTTTCTCTAATTTATGTCTTAAAAACTTTCACTCCTCGGGGCCAGCAGTTAGCATGGTGGTTAAGGGCTCTGGATTCCCATCCGGGTGACCATGGTTCGAGTACTGGACCGGGCGACTTGCTTCTGCGCTTTCCCTGTTTTATTTAACTTTATTTATTTATTTATTTTTAATTTGACCAGAGAGGAACAGAATGAGAGAGAGCAAGAGAGACAGAAAACGAGAAAACGGGACCAGCAGTTGGCATAATGGCTATGTTGTTGGACTCCCACGTAGTTGACCACAGTTTGAGTCCCGGACCCAATGGCTTAAACTCATGCCAGGCGCATCTGCGCGCATGCCCAGGATTCCGAGAGGAGAATGGAGGAGAAGGGATTGCGGCGTGGCCATCCCCCCTGGGGGGTGATTTCTTGCTTTCTGTCTCTCTGTCTCTCTCTGTCTGTCTGGCGAGCGCACGCGCCCTATAGCAAAAACCTCTCCAAAAAACAAAAAACAAAACCCAAACAAAAAAAAGCAAGAAAGCACGCTGCCAGTTCCGGGACTCAAACCACGGTCGGCCATGTGGGAGTCCAGCACCCTTAACCATCGTGCCACCTGGTGGCCCCAAATAAAAAAGCTCTTAAAAAAAAATACTTTGCTCCCATCCATTTATTTTTATATTAAAATGTTTTATTTAATGTTATTTATTGTTATTTTTGAAAGAATTATTTTATAAAACTTTATTTAATTTTGACCAGAGAAGGACAGAGAGAGAGAGAGAGAGAGAAAGAGAAAGTGAGAAAGTAAGCCTCCAGGTCCAGGACTTGAACTGTGGTTGGCCATGTGGGAGTCCAGTGCCCTTAAATACAATGCTACATGCCAGTCCCTATTGTCGTTGTCTTTTTTTTTTTTAAAGTAATGTCTATTTTTTTGGAAATGTTTATTTTAAATTTCTATTCATTCATTTCTTTTAATTTGACCAGAGAGAGACACAGAGAAAGAGAATGGGAAAAAAACAAGCCACCAGGTCCAGGACTCTAACCGCGGTCAGCCATGTGGGAGTGTCTGACATCTTAACCACCACACCACCTGCTGGTGCCCTGTTGTAATTTTTTAAAACTTTTTAAAAGAATTATTTATTTAACTTTATTTATTTATTTTAATTTGACCACAGGAACAGAGAGAGAGAGGGAAAGTGAGAAAGCAAGCCACCAGGTCCAGGACACGAACTGTGGATGGCCGTGGGGAAATCCAGTGCCCTTCACCACGCCATTTGCTTCCCGCTGTTGTTATTTTTAAATTTGACCAGAGAGAGGCAGAGAAAGAGAGAGAAAGTGAGACAGTAAGCTGCCAGATCCAGGACTCGAACTGAGGTTGGTCATGCGGGAGTCCAACACGTTAACCACCATGCCATCTACTGGCTCCATTTATTTATTTATTTTTAAAGAATTATTTATTTTATTTTATTTGTTATTATTATTTTTGGTTTGGCCAGTGAAAGATAGAGAGAAAGAGAAAGGGAAGGTGAGAAAGCAAGCTGCCAAGTCCAGGATTTGAACTGCAGACTGCCATGTGGGAGTCCAGTGCCCTTAACCAGCACACCACCTGCTGGCCACTATTTATTTATTTATTAAGTTAATTTGCTACAGGGCACATTCACTTACCTTATAGAGAAAGAGCGAGAGAGAGACGAGAAAGGGAAAAAGTGAGGAAGCAAGCCACCAGGTCCAGGACTTGAACCACAGTCAGCCATATTGGTGTCCAACACCTTAGCTACCATGCCATCTGCTGGTCCCCCCCATTTATTTTTTTATGAAGTTGTATATATATAAAAAATTACAGGTAATATTTATTTATTTGTTTTTAAGAGCTTTTTGTCTTAGGGCGTGTGTACTCTCCAGAGAGAGAGACGGAGACAGTGAGAGAGAAAGTGAAAATCATCCCCCGAGGGATGATTCCCTTCTCCTCCATTCTCTTCCCGGGATCTTGGGCACGTATGTACACATGCCTGGAGCGATTTTCAAGCCACCAGATCCAGCACTGAACCGCAGTGCCACGTGGGAGTCCAGAGGTGTCATCGCTCGCTCATCCGCTGGCCCCAATACAGGTAACACGTATGACAGTCACTTACAGATAAAGCCTGACGCTAACCTACAATTGCACAGACGATTGTGAAGTTCGCACACTGTCAGTCCTTACTTTTAGGCAAAGTGCTCTTTTGATGGCAGATAAGTTCATGGATACACACTAAATTCTTCCCATACAGTACAAAAAACGTTTGGATTTGGGGCCAGCAGGTGGCGTGGAGGTTGGGACGCCGGACTCCCATGTGGTCACAGCAGTTCGAGTCCAGCAACCTGAAAATCACACCAGGCACGTGGGCTTGCATGCCCAAAATCCCAAGAGGAGAATGGAGAAAAAGTGATTGCAGCGTGGCCATCCCCCCAGAGAGTGATTTCTCATTTTTCCTCTCTCTGTCTCTTCTGCGAATGTGTGCGCCCTATGGCAAAAACCTAAAAAAAAAAAAAGGTTTTGATTTGTTTTTCTCTTGTAAATATAATTTTGTCATTTGCAATCTTCAAACATTATTGGACTTAAACTTTCATAATTTGATAAAGCATTCATGAGACAATCTGCAGACTAATTTAACAGACGAATAACACTTTTAAGCAGAAATAACTGTCCTCAATTTTTTTCTTTTTCTTCTCTTAACTCAAGGAGCGCACAAACGCTGTACCCCAGGGACCAGCAGTTAGCGTAATGGCTATGTCGCTGGACTCCCACGTAGTCGACCACGGTTTGCGTCCCGGACACGGTGGCTTAAAACTCATGCCGGGCCCATGTTCGTGCGTGCCCGAGATCCCGAG